TTTATGCTGGTCCATCAACCAGCCAATCAACCTATCAATTAGCCAGTCAATTAGTTAATCATTTAAATGGATTGAAGCCTAGTTTCTAGTTTATTCACTGCAAATTTGAAATGGAGTGCAAAAGAGGAATTCAGTGCAATTTCAAGGTTACCCCAGGTGAAAAAGGCCACAGTGAAAAAGAGAAGACAATTTGTCACATTTCAGAGCCTTGTAAATTAGCACTTATGAGAAAGAATTTCAAAGTTGGACATCTTTCTTGCCAATAAATGAAAGATATATTTTAATAAAAATGTAAAAAAAACCATTGGAATTTTGAGTTGTGCAAATTTTGCTGGAAAAAATGTGCGAGTGGAATAATGATTTTGAGTGAAGATTTTTTGCAGGTGATAAAAAAACCCTTGAAAAATGGCATAACTGTTACAATAAGAATGCTACAAAGCAGTAATAACTTGATTAATCAAGAGTAATATACCGTAAACACCGGCGGATAAGCCGCACTCACAGATAAGCTGCACCCCGAGTTTGGGAACTATATTTCGGAAAAAAAGTTTTTGGAAGGAACTCAAAATACTTCACAAGTGGAGATTGAGAAAGTTCTTTACATGTACATTTCTTGATTTATTGAATGTAAACTGGCATAAACTCACAAACACTGGAACTCTTACCTATAATTTTAGTTTTGCAATAGTATGGACATGATGTCTACCAACTTTGACATATGTTTGATCTTTCTCTGGTTTTTTTAAACCAGTAATTTTTTCATTCCTGTCAGTTTTTCAGTAGAATTTTACACACAACAAGAAGAATGCAAGCGCATTCGTTCATTCGTAGCTTAGTAGCCAGGCATTTCACCAGGAGATGGAGTACTGGACACAAGTAGCTCTCGAAGCTTTCTTTGTTGACATGTACACAGCTTTGTGGCGGAACGGAGATTCCCTACTGCGAAACATTTAGCTACTCCAGAATGAGCTAGAATGGCAACCTTAAACTGGTTAAAAGATTTTTTACTGAAGGTTTAATGCAGTTTAGCAGCAAGAAATGTCAGCTTGTGATTATGAACAAAAACAGTTCCTTTAGGAGCTAACTCTCATTTATTTAATTACTGAAGTTCTTATTAGTTTGCTTTACCGGCTTATAAATTTTCGATGGAAAGTGTTAATTTATGCAAATTTATGGCACATTGTCCAGATGTTCACGCAGATAAGCTGCATCCCCGACTTTTAAGGAAAATTTTGTGTAAAAAGGTGGAGCTTATCCATCGGTGTTTACGGTAATTGCAAATCACTTTTATTAGTTTACCTGGATAACTGCTGCATGTAAATCCTGATTGCCAAGTCTCTGATCCACTTGGTTCCCTGTTTACATCTCATCTGGAAAACAAAATTCAGGTCTCCTTGTAATTTTTATGTATTTAGTTTCCATTAAGCTCCAGATACTAACTCCCCTAATGAAAGGCTAATATAGCATAGAGAATTTGCAGATCATTGTTTACTGAACTGAATGACATCGAATAGGGTTCCGCTGATGTCAATAAATTTCACCAATTGACTCCCGGAGCTTTTTGCCTAAAACACATTTTTTGGACATTTTGGAGATTTTTAGCCTGGATATGGGCCAAATTAGCTCCAATCTACTCAAAAAGGTATTTGCAAAATGACAGCATGCCTTTCTTTCCACTTACAACATTTTTGCTTGGGCATGCACAGAGATCAAAATTTCTAGATAGTTTTAGGACGAGAAAGTGACCTACATCTTTAGGCTTTTTGTGTTTTGTTTTTATTTTATTTTTTGTCACCTTTCCTTTTTCTACTTTTCTTATCTTTTTGCTGCAGTGATTGACCTTCTACTGGGCTTGCTTCCAGTTCAAAAATTTCTGAGAAATTTTGGAGTAGCTAAGTAGCTAAATTTTGGAGTAGCTAAGTGTAGTCGCAGGAAATTTTGCTGGCCGTTTTTCACTCAAATTTCTGAGCATTTATTGTGCATATTTCAGGCTCCATTGAGCCGATCACTCTGATCTGGGTATTACTGGAAAGATATTTTCCTCCTGACTTGCAGAACTTGAGTATAGATGATGTCAATTTTGGTCAGAGGTGATGACGTCAGAAGTGGAACAAAGGCCAACGCCTGTCACGGCTGGTTACGGGCAGCACAGGAGTCAATGGGTTAAAGGGAGCATGGAAATTCCAAGTCCAACCAAGCCATTCTTACACTGCTAAAGTTTGTCATTTTGAACATCTGGAAACTTAAAAAAAAAATAGACTGCCAAAGCCTAGAGAAGCTATTATTGAAAGCAAACATATTTCAAAGCAAACATTGTCTGCAAACAAAATCTTCATAACTAAAAGCCAAGTCATTTTGGAGCTCTGTCATGATGTCCAATCATGATGAAAAATAATAGTCAGAAAAACTTTCAAAATTTGGTTGCACAAGGTCCAATGACAGACTGTTAATTCTAGCACTGTTAACATCTTTTAACTATTCATATTATTTTACTGTGGAAAATCATGAAATGCTTGCAAAATTGCCACTTAAAATTTCCAGAAACATTTGTCTGACACAAAGTGCAGGCATTCCTACACTAGCATTCAAAAAGAGATATACACACAGTACATGTACCTATCTTTGTTTCAGAGGATTAATAAGTCATTTAATATCTAGAAACTTTCATGCCTCATAAAATAATAGTAAAAAAATTGAAAACAACCAATGCTTGTTCAGTTACCCAATCAGAGCTTAACTTAAGTTACTATGCATGAAATTATTCTCATCACTTGAAATTAAAATATTTTTGTTGCTAATTCTACAACAAATAACTCATTGCTTGGTTCAAAACAAAGTTCTGGTGCTGGGTTGAAAAATATATTTTTTCATTGCTGTTCAAAAATTTGAAAATTTTCTGCTTGGTTTATTTGAAGTAGTTTTTGTGCCCATGCTGGGTTTGAAAATTAATTTTTTTGCCACTGGGTTAAAAAATTTTATTTATCGCTGAATCAATTCCAAGTTGTTGCTGCATGAGCCAAATTCAGTTTGCTTTGTTTCCCAGTTTGAATTTATACTTAAAAAAAGGGGAAAAAAAGCTTAAAGGTCAAATATGTTGCTGGGTTAATTGACAGAATCTTATTTTTGTTGCTGGACCATTCAGAATTGTTTTATTTGCTGGTTTTAAAATATTGTTTTTGCGGCTGAGTTCAAAGATGTTTTGTAAAAGGTTTCAAAATTCTCATTTTTGTTATAAGACTGTACTAAATCACTAATGCTAAACTTAATGCTTTGTTGCTGGACCGGTCAAAGTTTCTCTATTATAAGTTACAATGTACTTCTTGCTAGGTTCACCATTGCAGGTCTTTATTTTGTAAGAATATTGTTTTTCTGGTCAAGACTTAATATTGTTATTTTTTTTTCGCCAGTGTACAGTAATTGGTGTCTGGATGGTATTAAAGTAGTTAATTAAAAATAATTTTGGACGCACCCTGTAGGCATAAAAGCCTGCTATAGAGAAATGCCATTGGACGGTATAGAATGTACAAATAGTGCTGCCATAGCTGCTTTTTGGCTAGTTTTGCTATTTAGAGAAAAGAAGAATTTATATGGTTTTTTTGATAACTAGTTATTAACCACTAGTGAAGTCTTTACAGGAAAATCTCAAACCGAGACCTTGCAGCAATGCTGAGGTTTGAGATTTTCCTGTAAAATTTGCATAACGTAAGGTTTGAAATCCCATCCTTCTGTCAAGTTTAGCTGCAAGTTTCTTTTGCTTAAGTTTTGGCAATGCAAACATCATAGTTTCGAACAATCCAAATCCTACTTTGAGCCTTTGACTTTTACCAAGCTAAGATTTTTACTTGAGTATTTTGACTTTTTTTGTTTACATTTTCTTTGAGTATTTTGACTTTGTTTGCATACATTTTCATTAATTTGAAGAAGCAAATATATATATATATATTAAAAAAAAATGTTCACAAAGAAATATCTGTACACATTTTCAGCCCAAATGAGGTTAAAATAAATTGGCCAAACTGGCAACATCACTTCCGGCCAAATGTGAGAGAGGTCGGTACAAAACATGGACCCCCAGTCTGGACCCCCTAGTGGACCCCCTTTTGGACCCCTTCTGGACCCCTTCTGGACCCCTTCTGGACCCCTCGTTTTTTTCTTTCTCTTTTTCTTTTTTTGAACAACGGTTAAAGTCAGCCGTCTAAGTGATGAGCTTTATGTACTTTTGAATGATTCAAGCCGTGATTAAATGCTTTAGACGATCAACAGTCAGGAGAATTGAGGAGAGTTGAGGAGAATTCAAACGATGTGTTCCGCTGTTTATTTATACGATATTGTAAATAAATGCAGGTAAATACAGATATGGCGAAATGATGAACAAATAGTTGAGAAATACACGTAGAAGAAACGACATTACACAAGACTGGGAGTTCTGCAACACGGGGTACTTGTATTTGGTCACCCATCCAAGTACTAACCCCGCAGAACAGGGTTTAACTTTGTTGAGTGGACAAGACGTGGTGCTGTCCTTGTGGTATAGTGACTCTACGCTGAACGCACTTTTTTTAATTTCTAAGATGAGAAAAGGTAACAAAGAGAGAAAAAAAAACATTGATACATGCCTGAACCATGACCTGAGCAGGAAGCGCTCATTCACCTTAGAAAGAAAAATTTTAAAATAATGGACCTCCACAAAGAACACAAGAGCATGTTAAAGGGAAGGGGCAATTCGCTAAAATTGCAAGAAATGCAGATGAATAAATGAATTCCTGAACAATGGTAAGTGAAGTGCAATTTTCCAAACGTAACAGCTGTGGACCGATAGCGTTTCCTAGTTCCTAGATGCCATAATCCATGCTTCTCTACTGATAAAGATGCTCGGGAGCGAGTGTTTCATTTTGTCATAAATTAATGAATACACAAAGTTCTTAGTGAAAGGACCCAATGTTCATTTGGAGGTGCTCTCTATAAAAGCCTGGGTATAAAAGTTATGCATGGTAGGATTCCTGGTGATTTCTTCAAACCATCACTGATTTTTTGGATAGAGTCAAATTCGAGGACGATTCATTCGATGCCTCGACGGCGATGGAGAATAATCTGACATTTGAGAGAACTGCCTTGGAAATTCGTGTATAGCGCGGGTGAGCCGTGAAGAATAGAGGCTGAAGGACACAAAAACAGAGGAAAAGAATCAAGAAAATAAAAGTCTGCAGTTCTCACAGTGTGTCATTTTGTTGGTTTATCCATGTAATGATGTCAATTTAGTTCACCCACTTTTACTTTATAACCTATTTCAGTGCCGCTGCTCATAAAATATAACCCCATTGTTTCGTCATAACCAACCTTAAACCAAGTTAAGTTATTCGCTAATTTTAACCAGATTTTGTAAAAAATAAACGCAGTTAACTCTCTTAGTGCGGGTGGAGCCATATATTATTCTACAATGTAGACCAAACGCTACGTGTTATGTTCTAAGTTTAATTATTTAAATTAGGAGCCCGTATTTTCTGAAAGGAAAAAAAAATCATTTTTCACATTTTTACTGCACTTCATTGATTAAGTAGACTTTACCGTCGTTCAAAAAAAAAAGAGAAAAAAAGTGGCCAAGACCCATTCAACTTGGAAAATGGATCATCTGTAAACAGCGACAATTTTGATGCCACTTAAGGTTTTAATCCGTAGGTTAAGTTAAAGTTAAAGCCCTCTGGTATTGTTAAGAAATAGTGCAAAACGCAACGGTAAGAGAATACACAAGGAGAAGTAACACTGTTGAAAACATTCATGAAGTTATCGGTACTTTCTTTATAATTGTCTCGGTCTCTTGCACCGCTTCTTGTCCGATCACCAAAGCAAGTGATAATTCTCGTTTTCATTTCTCTCATTTTTGTTCGTTCTTAATTTTCCCAGCAAGTATCAAGGTGTTTTTTTTTCTCTCTCTTTGTTACCTTTTCTCATCTTAGAAATTAAAAAAAGTGTGTTCAGCGTAGAGTCACTATACCACAAGGACAGCACTATATCTTGTCCGCTCAACAAAGTTAAGCCCTGTTCTGTGGGGTTAGTACTTGGATGGGTGACCAAATACGAATACCCTGTGTTGTAATAACTTCTTTTTCTTTCTTTCTTTTTCTTTTTCTTTTTTCCCCTTCCCTTTTCAAGGCGATATTTAAGACTGCAGAACTCCCAGTCTTGTGTAATGTCGTTTCTTCTACGTGTATTTATCGACTATTTGTTCGTCATTTCGCCATGTCCGTATTTACCTGCATTTATTTACAATATCGTATAAATAAACAGCAGAACACATCGTTTGAGTTCTCCTCAACTCTCTTCAATTCTCCTGACTGTTGATCGTCTAAAGCATTTAATCACGGCTTGAATC